GGAATTGGCCATTTGGCTCGTGACTGTGATCGGAGAGGAAGCGGAGGAGGTGGTGGTGGTGGCAAGTGTTTCAACTGCGGCAAGGAAGGTCACTTTGCAAGGGAATGCTCTTTGGTTGCTTGAAAATAAAGAGTAATGTTCATATACTTGTTCGGTTTTCAATTAATCTGCGTGAACCTTTTGGTTTTTTTTGTTATGTTTGCTCCTTTTTTGTGACGATGATGTTGTGATAGCTAGAGTGATAATAGCAACATAGAGTTTTTGACCTCTATGTTGCTGTTATGACTGGTTCTTGCAAACCTATTCACTGCTTTTGTTGTTGCCATAAGTTATGAATCTTGAATGATATGTGTGATTGCTTTGTTTGTAGTTTCTTGTCTTTCTTTAAATTGAGTGATGTTGTTGTGATGACTTGAACATCTTATCTTAATCTGTTATGTTCACTTTCGTATACCAAAGATTGTAAAGACATTTCAACAATCAGTCCCAGTTCTTTCTTGGTTACTCTCCTCTGTTGTTTTTGGCAAGTTGTCGGTGACAAAGGGGTTACGATTCTTTCTTGAAATTGGCTGAACTCTGAAAAAGAATTAGTAAAGGCTATTTTGATATTCATATTTCTTACTTGTTGTTTTAGGATAATCTCCTGAACAAGAGGATAGACATGGTGTGATATTGTAGTGCTTAAGCAGTTTATTTCACCTCCCATTTGGTTTCTACTACGACAGAAACGACCTTTAGGGACCTAACATCCGCTTTGTTCTTCCTAGAAAATTAGTTTAGACCCGTTTATTGTTGAATCTTCCCGGTGAACCCCCACCTCTGCTAAGTTGATTGTCCAGCCTATATTGCAAAAACTAGAGATATATTGTATCAGATGCGAGTTGCGGCATGATCCGTATTGAATCAATTGCTACATGTGTATCGAGTTATCGGTACCTGATCTTTATCCGCTATTATTCAAAATGAAGAGCGGAATATTAAGTATCATTAGTTGGTGCGAAATCAAATTCCGGAAGTTACACAGAACAGTCAAGTTGCAATATAAGGAAATTTGTTACAAACAAGTACGAACCAACGGATTTGATCTCTTTTATCATACCAAACAAAAAATGGGAGCTTCTAATAAGTTCTCATGTCGTTGACCAAACCCCAACAATCCTACGAATTCCCATACTACTAACCAAACACGCCTCTTTCCTACCAAAATCTTAAAAAACAAGCAGCACAAAATCATTTTAAAAAATTAGGCAAATTGTCAAGTTGTCCATTTTACGGTTTTCACCACCAGAGTTAGACTCCATATAACAAAATTAATAGCGGTTTCTTCTCTAAACCCTTGTAAATTTAGAATTTTGGAAAATCATCGACAAAATAGCATCGAAATCCCCTTGCTATTAAAACGCAAGTACTATTATTTAGTCTTTTTAGGTGTTTTAATTTGATTGACTTAAAATTATGACATATTTTTAAAAAAATGTGACATGGCTTAAACTAATTAAATAGATAATTTAAATTGAATATCATTATTTACGTTTTTAAAACTATTAGTTTTTACAAAATACTTATTCATGGGGAATAATTATATTTGTTGTATGAATTTGGGAATTTTTTTTCACAAACATCTCAAAATCTCTTTTAAAATGTTGGAAAGTTTTTATTATTATTTTCAAAAAAAAATATATTCTATAAAAATGTTCTATAATTTTATTATTACAAAATCAATTTCTAAACTATTTTAAAATGAGAAACTAAATTTGTATATAATTTTAGAATAAAAACGAAAATCTGATAATATATTGATTAAAAACTTTTTTGATTTATTTATGGTAAAAAATATAAATTTAGTTGTAGAAGATTTTGTTATTAATTCAAAGTTGCCATGTCATAATTTTTTGAAGTCATGTTACAATTTGTTTCGTGAGAGTGATTGTGGAGATGACACATAAGTATATTCTCACAAATCACTCTCCAAATAATCTATAAGGGATTATTATTACTATTATTTTTGGTTAATCATTCAATCAAATTTTGTAACTTATGTTTTTTGTGCAACAATGCATTGACTTTATGGTTGCTAACAATGAACAGCATATTTGTTCTTTCATATGCTTCTTTTGAGTTTTTAACATGGTTTTGGTTCTTAATTTTTTTTATATATATATTCACGGGAAACTGGAGTAAAAATGTAAATGGAAAAAATGGAGTGGAAGTAGTTTTTTTCCACCAACATATTCCTCTCATCTTTTGTAAACTAACAATTATATATAAATTTGGCTTAGTTTCCTCTAATTTGATGAGATTCAATTAATTTTAAAAGAAAATTTCATCCTAAATGGTGAATTTTTTTAGAGAAAATGAGAGAAAAAATTAATTCAATCAGRTTCATTTCTCCAACTAGGTAACATACGAAGTAACAAATGTAGAAGAACAAGAAGAAGAATGAATAAAAAACAGAAAACAACACATAGACGAGAAAAAGTCGAAGAAAAAAACCAAAAAACTAGAACATGAAATAAACAAACTATAAGAAGAAAAATTGGTAGGAGAAGACAYAGGACGAAAATMATTAACGAAAAMAAAAAATTAGAAGAAGGAAATGAGACGAATGATAACAAAACATATATAGTTACTATCGTTAACGGAGTTTACAAATTCTTCATGCTCGCCATGAATAACATTTTTAATATGTTATATTTTTCACTAATTATAAAATTTTACATATTGTTATCCAGTGTTTGTGTTTTATTTCAACATAAAGATAAAAAAAATATGTAAAAATCAAGAATTTTCACATTGATTCCCAAA